GTGTTAAGTGTAAGTTTATTGGCTGTCATCCAAGTCGATATTTTGAGCAGCTCCTCGTTAACAATGGTATTGAGGGTGGCAAGATTAGGGTGGGAGATGTCATAAGTCGTGTCGTCAGCAAAGAGAATGGGTTTCAGGTGTTGGGATATATTTGGAAGATCATTGATGTAAATGAGGAAGAGCAGGGGTCCAAGGACACTTCCCTGCGGAACTCCAGTATCAAGTGGCCGTATTGATGAGGTTGTCTTTAATGGTGACATACTGATACCTATTAGAAAGGTAGTATTTAAAATATGCAAATGCATGGCCTCTTATACCATAGTGGTCAAGTTTGTGGAGTAGGATGCCGTGGTCTACTGTGTCAAACGCTTTTCTTAGGTCAATAAAAATTCCTAGCGGATATTCCTTATATTCCAATGCTGTGTAAAGGAGGTCTAGCATTTTTATAATTGCATCATTAGTGCTTTTATTTTTCCTGAATCCAAATTGGCAGGGGTTGAGTATGTTTTGTGACGTTATAAATGAATATAGTCTCCTGTGCACGAATTTCTCGAAGATTTTGGATAGCAATGGTAAGTTTGATATTGGCATATAGCTGTTTACGTCTGTAGGGTCACCACCTTTATGTATTGGTGTAACCCTTGCCGTCTTGAGTAGTGTCGGGAAAGTGCTAGTTTCTAGTGACTTGTTAAAAAGTAATGTAATAGCATGCGAAAGGATATGGGCCGCTCGCTTGTACAATAATGGTGGGACGTGAGACAGATTCCCGGAGTTATTTTTAAGTGACTTTATGATCGCGGTGACTTCCGTGGGCTCAGTTGGTACAAGATAGAAGGAATTTGGGAAATTCCCATCTAGGTAGTCCCCGGCACGGGCATTGGCACGTGGGATTTTACTGGCGAGATTAGATCCTATGTTTGAGAAGAAGTCGTTTATCTTGTTAGCTGTATCATTGGGATGCAGTGGTGTTTCATAAGGTTTAGTTAGAACAATATTTTTTTTTTTTTTAGTTTGTGGGTCCCCAGAATCTGGGAAAGTGTTTTCCAGGTCTTTTTTTATATCTCCTCTAGTGTCAGTGAATCTGCTGGAGTACTACAGTTGTTTGGCTTTCTTTATTAATTTGGTGAGAACTGTTGAATATTGTTTAAGAATATCTTTGTGTATTAAGCCCTGTCTATATTGCTTTTCATAATGGTGTTTCTTATCAATGGATTTCAGAATGCTGCTGGTTAGCCATGGGCAACCAAGCCGTTTATTCGTGATCTGTTTCGTTTTTATAGGACAATGTTTGTTGTATAGTCTAAGTATTTTGTTAAGAAAGATGTCTGTCCAATCGTCAATACCATTGGCATTGGAGAATTCTGTAGGCCAGCCAACAGTCTCTAGGTCTGCTGTGAAATTCCTTATTGAGGCCTCGTCATGGAGTCTAAATGAAACTTTGTTGTATTCGAGTGGTGGCTTACTAATGTTTGTTAAGAGGAAGGTTGGATAGTGGTCAGTAGTGCTGTCTGTGATTATCCCTGATTTAAGGGGGGCTTGTATATTGGTCCATATGTGGTCTATTATGGTTGCACTTGTCTCAGTCAGCCTGGTTGGTTTAGTTATTGTTGGTATGAGAAGTGCGTTGTTCATATTGTTGATGAAATCAGTTACAGTCTGATCATCTGGTAGGCCAAGGTTGGTATTGAAGTCTCCAGCTAAGAGAAGGTGGTGCTTGTTCATTTGTCTGTTTATTAGTGACTTTAGATTCTCACTGAAGTTTGGGATGTTTGTGTGGGGTATCCGGTATATGGCACCGATTGTTATAGGCGTCTTGAGGTTTTTACAGTAAAATTAGCAAAAATGTATTCCCCATATTCATCACTAAAGCAATTAGTGCTAATACAAGATAGTTGGTTAGAGTAATAGATTGCAGTACCACCCCCAACTTGGTATGGTCTGCAGTTGTGGATTGCTGTGTATCCTGGTAGTGGGTAGATATCAATTGTGTCCTGCTTAAGCCAGGTCTCAGTAAGAATAATGCAGGAGAAGGGTGTCTTTAGTGACTCAAGGAGTGCCAAGAGGTCATCATAGTGTTTGCTTAAGGACCTGATGTTGTAGTTAAGAACTGATAGACTTTGAGCAGTGTTCAGGATAGTGCTGGCTTGTGATGCTATGTAATAAAGGTCTTGACTAAATGACTGGGAGAGACGTTTGAGTCTTCGTGAGTACCACCTACCTCTGTATCACCAGTTAGCATACCATAGAGCAACCTTCTGGGGAAGTTAATTATTGTTGTCAGACACATGATAAGAATGTTTCGTTTTCATCTCTAATCTCAGATATGATATACCGTCAATTGACTTGATCATGTTCAAGGATTTGCTCTTTAGCAGTGCTCTCTTTCTGCAGGTTCAGGTACTCTGTTACAACATCTCGTAGATGTAGGGAGTGTGGTGCAATTACCAACTTGCCATTGTTCTCGGAAGAAAAAAATATACAAACTCCTTAAATTCTGCCTCAAGCTTTCTCCTAATGTTATTTTGACGACTGTCTTAAGTTTTGTGAACTCCACTTTTTGTGTATATAAACTCTTGCAGCTTGCTGGTTAAAAAAGTCATAAGAAACAAGCATTTGTTTGGAATGACGTCTTTTCACATACATTAAAATACATCACTGTAAGGTTCTACTTCAGCAGTTGTGTAAGGATTACCCTCGTCTCGTGAATCAGTGACATGATGTTATCTGTCTTTGCAGGATTTATATACATCGTGTAGCAGAAGCATGACTGTTTCTGCTGCTATGCCTCTACTACTGGTCATTACTAATATCTTGTCATAACCTTTGCCAAGTACACAGTGTCTGTATTTCCTGAATCAGTTTTTCCTTACTGATGTGTTTGTGTTGCATTTGTCGCTCAAGAAGACTGCAGATTTTGTCATACTCAGTATGCTTGAATCAGATGATTTCTTGATGCTGGATCTTGTGGTCTCTTTGTGCTCTTGCGTTACTGTCCACAGGATGAATATGGGATGCGCAATAAAGTATACGTTCGACAGCAAAATCTGAAAATTCTTAAGTTTTCATTAATCTGTTGCTTGAAATTCTGTTGCCTTTGTCTTAAGAGTTTGTAATTGTCTCTTCATTGTGACTAAGCTTCTACGGTGTTTGTGACAGACATTTTCCAGGACCTGACATTTCTCTAAAAAATTTTGTATTGGCTTGTTCTTGTTGCTTCCAGCAGAGTGAACCATGACGGGTGTCCCCCACCAACTTGCTAAGTTCTCTTCATTGGAAATAATACTGGATCCTCTATGAATGGTGCGTTTTCTATTTTGAGAGTACCTTTCACACTCATCATTCACTTTTGGGTACACATGCAGTGCCTGAAAGCAACAGTTGGCTTGCTCCACAAAGCGCACACTACCACCCCACTGAAGGTAACCATCACCATGTAACTAAAGAATGAATATCATGGAGACAGGTGACATCGTCCAAGTACATAAAATTAAATTTTTTTTTTTTTTTGAAAATTGTATTGATTAACCTTGAATATTAAGCACTTCATGAGCATATTGTTTGAGAATGGATGTCATTTGCCACCACTGGAATACGCATTATTATTATAATCAAGAGGGAAGCGCTAAACCCGTAGGACTATACAGCGCTTGTGGGGGGGATGTGGAAGGTATTCAGGCTTAATTCAAGGAACTGGAGGACAGATCCAATTCCCTAGATCAAGAGCCCCACACCAGCATCAAGGAACCTTTCTTGAGGGGCTGGAATACGAAGCTTGAACAAAATACCGGAGCATGGCATTACAAGGTTATAACAGAGGGCAGAGCAACACAATGCTGCAATACCAGTTACTTGTGTTTTTTTTTCTTTTGCGCTTGTTAGTTTGAATGGTTTTCATTGTTTGTAATATAATTTTGGCTTGTGTTCGTGTGTATGTTGGTATTTAACATTTTTGCCAAATGCACTGGATAATCTTATAGATAAAAACTAATCGATAAAATCTAAAAAAAAACATTAACAGTATTCTTTGTTGTTTTATAGGTAGTACTAGGTTATTTTCTTGTATGTTTACAGTTGCAGATAGGCGAGTTTTTTTTTTTTTTTTTTTTTTTTTTTTTTTTTTTTTAGGTTCAGCGTTTATGGAAAATATTTGTGCGCGCGCCGTAGCACAAGAAATAAAGTGGAATTTTAAGAATTCTCCGGCAGGACTGCATCGTGCTCATAATGCAACAATGCTGTGCAAGACCGTGAAAATATAGTTTATCTTTAAAGTTTGTTGATAAAGCTCGTTTATATTATTTATCTGTGAAGCATATACCTGAAGTTTATCCATAAGACTTAAATATTCTGTATTTCTGAAGATTTAAGGTAGTTTCTTCACTTAGGTAGCCGACCACTCGTTTGTTGTGGCATTTATCCTGTGTTTGTGTGTGTGTGTTGTATGTGTATATGTTGTGTATTTTGTGTTTTGTTTGTGTTCGCGTATTGTTTGTGTGTGTATTCACCTAATTGTTGTTGCAGGGGTCGAGTCACAGCTCTTGACCCTGTGTGTGTGTGTGTGTGTGTGTGTGTGTGTGTGTGTGTGTGTGTGTGTGTGTGTGTGGTGTTGTGTGCGTGTGTGTGTATGTATGTATGTCACCTTGGTCACCTTGCAAAAACTCGTTTAAAATTAAGTCCTCTCTAAAATTTTCTCTTACTCGTTTAAAGATATATTTTTTTCATTTATATTTATGTAAAAATAATTTTGTACCAAAAGAACCTTAGAAAACTTTCCTAACCTTATTATAAGAAACGCAATTATTTTAGCCTACTCCAACTAAATATATTTTAGGTAAGTTTACAGTAATTTAATAATAAACACAATGAAATATATTTTATGATTCGTATGATTTTTTTTTTAACGAAAAATTGTCTCCTTCGAATTTCATGGATATTCTCTTTCCCTACCCTTCCCCCCCCCCCCCGTCATAATTTTTAAAAAGCTTAACGTTAAATCTGTTGATCAGGTGTAAGCGAGAGTTAGTGAATACTGTCTCTGACGTGAAAGTGAACTCTTTATAGGTTGAAAAAAAATCATATATTGATAATATACTCTTCATTGGATGAAAATGAATTCAGTGATTGAAAATGAAATCTCTGTTGGTTGAAAATACTCTTCATGGGTTGAAAATTAATTCATTGATTGAAAATATGTATACTCTTCATTGGTTGAAATTTAACTCATCATCGTTTGAAGATGAATTGTTCATTGACTGAAAATGGAAAACGAGAATACAAATTTGACCTGAACTATTGAGATGAGGGAGCTCGGTCAGGGTCAGAGGCATCCTCTGCTGGACTCCTTCAGGGAGATGGTGTTGAGTGTGGTGGAGAGGCTGAAGCCTGGCCTCAACCACAACCACCAGACCACACTTGGCCACCACAAGCAAGGAGAACAACAACAACTGGAGCAGCAAGATAACATTGATAACTCCAACACAATGTATTACCTCGAGCCTAGCCAGGTCTTGGCTGCTGCTCTAACCTCCGGCCACGGATTGGTGAAGGTTTGTATCAGAAGAGTCTGCTGAATAATTGATGGAGAATTGATAGTCTCTGACAGACGAAACGTTTTCTCAGTAAAATGTGATATACCTCATGTTGTCATGTCTATATGGTGAATGTTAGTTAAAAAATGTGTTTAAGTTAAGTGCTTGTGAAGTTGCTAGAGTTTGTGCTTCTGTGCAGTGGCGTGACATTGATTTTTTGCATAATGAATGATTTGGTAATCGTTTTCTACAATGCTTAATCTCACTCACACAATGGTGTTAGGATGGTAGGCTATGATATAATTAGTTTTACAAGTTAGGAGGTACTACCTACGTCAGCTCACTTAAAAAGATTTCCCTAACATTATCTATCAAGTGGCTATAAGTATGTGTAGTCTTAAAGCAGTTATTATATTATATACAAGAACTTGATCAGCTGTGGATCAAAGATTTCATTTGGTCAACTGGGTTTACTTTAATAATGTTTGAATGCTGTACGAACATGTAACAAACTCTATTCATTATAGTAAGGAATGTTTGCAGATGAAGTGATGTTCTTAAGAATGGTGCAGCCAGAGTATGGATACTGTTTGCTGCCCGTCTTATAGAACAAAAGCTTCCTTCTTCTCACTGCTAAGTGAAGCCAAGTGTGGTACTACTTTGATAACATTAGCTTTGAATATAACAGTAAGGCATCTCTCCAGTGTTGAAGGCTAAGATAATAGAGCCAACCAACGATATATATATACACACACACACACAACACATATATATATATATATATATATATATATATATATATATATATATATATATATATATATATATATATATAATGTGTGTGTGTGTCATGCCGAATGGGTAAAACTCGTAAATTAGCAAGAACTCGTTTAAAATTAAGTCTTTCTAAATTTAATAATAAACACAATGAAATATTTTTTTCGTTAGGTTCAGAGTGATTTTTGCGAAATGACTGCATAGACAAATTTTCGCCTGCCCTAATCGGCAAAAAGAGCGTTATTATTTAAGCCAAAATCACAAGGTTTACTTATTCGGCACGACATATGTATATTGTAGGGGCCTTTCCTGGGGTTGAAATTTTTTATAGGCGTAAATTTATTAATTTTGTTTGTTTTAATTATGGTAGCAATAGTCTTTCCTGGAAATTTTATGCATATTGGTGGAAAAACAAAATTATGGAAAAAAGAGACATTAATGTGGGCGCTAGATGCAACAGGAACGACACTTAACATCCCATCCTGGGAAATATTGTTAAACACACCTTAAGTAACAGAGTAGTCTAAACAAAAAAAATCTCATTTTGGCTGTTAAAAGGTTCACTTTAAAATTCCTAAAAGTAGCAAAACAAAAATCACTCGCGAATTCTTGCTCAAAAGATCCTTAAAAGAATAGCGAAATTTTGTCAGTTGTATAGAACGGTGAACCAGATTGTATTCTTATGCTTATGTAACATTTCCGAGGCTTATTTAATCAAACAGTGGCATCTGATATTAAATTACGATGAATGATAATACCTTACTTGGGAAGGTTGAGCTCTAGCTCTTAGATTTGTTAAGAAAGCTGAGTTGCAGCTACTCTGCCTGTTGAGAGTATCGAGGTTTAACTACAAAAATATCAGGTGTTTTTTTGTAATTTAAACACTTCTCTACGAGGCAGTATAGGTTTTCAGATGTGGCATTGTAGTGTGAATATTGCCATAAAGTTATGAAGAATTGATTTTATTGCATAAAATCCGTATATTTTTTTCTTTATATGTAAAGTTGGCTTGCAAAAATGAAAGTGTTGGCAATATTGAAGTCCTCGCTGTTATATTGAAAAACAATGTTTATTCTTCCATTCTGTTTATTACTATAGCTTTTCATTTACGCAGTTTTAAGTATAGGAATCAAGTATTATTTTAACGTTTAGTAGGAAAATCATAACATTAATGGTATACAGTACCGACAAGTTGGTGAATTAACACGTGTGCAACGCTTGGACAACTTTATTTTGAAAACTTTTCCACTCCCCCCCCCAACCCCATCCATTGGCTATATCAATTCGGTCTCGCTCCTGTGTAAGTGTCCAGCTTTCTGCCTATGCGTCAGGTTTAAGAGTAAGGCAGTGAAAATACAGACTGCACCATCTTGTGTCGTCTCCAGTTTGGATGCCTTCATGTCTAGTGAACTAATGACCTCATCTTCTACTGTCTCCAGTTAAGCTATGTATTGAATTGATGAAGCTACTGGTTGGCGACGCGTCTACCCAAGTTTGAACGTGTCTAATCATTCTGTAGAAAAACTTTTAAGGGGTAGGGGGGGAGGAATGGATGCGTCTTAATGACGAAGGGAACTTGATTCAAGGAACTGTAGCTACCTTCCTCTTCCCCAGGTTAAACATGATTACGTCTTCTTCCCCAGATGCTATATAACCTCTACAAGTTTAGCGCTTCCTAATAATGTAGTAGGAAAACCTAAATATTTTAGGTACAAGATACAGTAGCTTAATATATAGGAACGCCCAACCAGTTTAGCATTGTACAAAGAGATTCTGAAATGCTTTGCATACTATGGGCTTTTCAGATGTGCTATGTTCATATATAATGTTGAGAAAATACAGTTTTGAATTTGAGCATTTACATTTGCAATTCCTTATTTTCCATTTATTAAAGTTTATTAATGATTGAGAAAGATTAACTTGGTCTTTTATTTTTAATAATCATTTATTAATCTTCTGTTTCGTCTTACAGGCGGCTCTGTGGGACAATGCAGAACTGCTCGAGGATCTACTAAATGGCGATCAGTTGGCCCACCTTGACTGCCGGGATGCTTGGGGTCGGACTCCACTACATGCTGCAGCCACAACTGAGTCCTCCAGGTGCCTTCGCATCCTCCTTCAAGCTGGGGCTGATGCTAACATGGCCTCGGGTCCCAGAGCTGAAGGACGGGTAAGACATGAGGTGTTGAACATGGAGTCGTACAATACCCAGGGTGTGGGAGGTAATCAGGTTTGATTCGTGGGAAGGGTAGCTCCAAGGTCCACCCTTGAAGGGGTAAGACACACACGCCTCAGGTGCTCAGGCTAGTGCAGTATTTCCCTATTAGGTTAACTTAGAAAGAAGTGACTGTATTTGACTGGGTATTTTTGTCATAATTATTGAAGACGGGAGGTGGCAGCCACGAGATGTAACTCGGCAAGTTTCCGGTCACCTGCCTCTCTTGTCAGCTGAGCCTGGCTCGCTGATACGGGAGGTGCCATCCTGGTGTGCTGATTTACTGGCATGAAGGGTAGGGTAGGGAGTAGTTTCCATGAAGCATCAGCACTACGTGCCACCGAGGGTACCTTTAGACACGGAGGGGAATATATATAGTCTCCTTTCGCAGCTCCCCGTCTTTCCCTCCTCCCCCATTTTTTTAACAAGAACAAAAAAAAAAAAAGAAAGACCTTAATCATAAAAAGTTGTATTCATATTTTGCCTCCTGGTGACATCTTTACCCATGTGTCATCCTTAACTGACCCCGGCACGCCCATGGTCCTTCCTTCGAACTTGGTACCGCTTTTGAACAACACGTCATTGCCTGATTGCTGTACCAGAATTCCAGCTGACTTTTCATACCTCTGACCTTTGACCATGATCCTGGATTCTCCCATGAAGGTGTATAGATTTTAGGATTGTTTTCATGTCGGAGGACAGATTGGCTCAAAGCCTCCATTCAAAGTGTTGACGCATACTTGATGATCCTGAAACTGCCACTCCTCGCTCCTAATCCAATAAACAAGCTGGTCGGAAACTTATTCCCCTCCAAGCTGTAATTTAAGGAGACTCTTGGGCATACATAATTCTTTTCTCTTCAGCCAACAACTACTACTGATTACCTCACCGACCATAGCATTAGCAAAGCACTCTTGAGGCATGCCGTCAGTAGTGGAATGAACATTGTCTCTGAAGAATGCTGAGCAAACTCAGTGTTTTCCCCCTTAGTTCTGTTAATGACCTCCCTGACATTCTCCTCTCAGTGTTAGTTACTGTACTATAGTCCAGCAGGAGTTCATGCAGTGCAGTCCAGACATTCAGGAATAACTTGAGTTCCATAACCTCTGTCATTGTAATAGAAAGTTAGGTCCTCCATGTACTGTTTGCAGCTTTCACATAGACCCACATAAAGGATCATTTTGACAATGAAACATGGATCCCAGGTTATAACTTATTCGGATGCAACAGACTAAACAGGCAATAAGGGGGGGTTGGCTTGTATATCACAGAGTCGCTCATTTGCTCAGAACTATTAAACACCTCATATAATGTAATTGAAGTTTTGGCAGTAAAGATCGAAAACCAAAACTTTGTCATTGTGGTTGTATACAAGCTTCCAGATGCAATCTCCCATCAGTTCCAGAAACAGCTTTCGAAAATTGACCACTGTCTGGAAAATCTTCCAACTCCTGCCACGAACATCTTGCTACTGGGGGAATTCAACTTGAGACACCTAAAATAACATTTTAGCCTAGGAGGCAGCTCAGATGAAAATTCACACACACATGAGCTGTTAAATCTCTGCACCAAATTCAGCTTAAACCAGCAAATACACTGGATCTCATCTTCACTAACAATGATGATCTGATACTTAATATAACCATATCAAAGACAATACACTCAGATCACAACATAATAGAGGTATAGACATGTATGCACAGCTCCTGACAAGCAAAATGTGATCAGTTATGAGGGTGCCTTTACAAAATTCAGCTTCAGTACCAAAAACATACAGTGGGAACAAGTCAACCATGTCCTCAATGAAACAAGCTGGGAAGATATCCTTAACAACACGGATCCGAGCCTTTGTCTAGAAAAAATTAACTGTGGCACTTGAGGTCTGCTCAAGGCACGTTCCATTAAGAAAAAGATAGAGAAGATGTAAACTAGAAAGAGAGAGATGCTCCCTGTACAGGTGAAGGTGAAGAATCACAGAGCTACTTAGAATGGCCAGTATATCTGAAATACGAAGGGAGGCACTGGTCAGAGAAATAGCAGATATTGAACTTAACCTTAAGGAATCTTACAGGAGACAAGAATCTCAAAAAGAACTTAAAACCATAAAGGAAATTGAAAGAAACCCAAAATATTTCTTCTCTTATGTCAAATCTGAGGAGAACACAACATCCAGTATTGGACCTCTGCTTAGGCAAGATGGGACCTACACAGATGACCGCCAAGAAATGAGTGAGATACTAAAGTCCCAGTGTGACTCACTGTTCAGCAACCTGTTAACCAGACTAAGTGTCGACAATCTAAATGAATTCTTTATGACCGAGACCCTAAATTTGGTCACTTCAGAAATCTCTGATATTATCCTAACACCACAAGACTTCAAAAAAGGCAATTAATGAAATGGCTGTGCACTCTGCCCCAGGCCCAGACTCGTGGAACTCCGTGTTTATCAAATACTGCAAGAAGCCCCTGTCACGTGTCCTTCAGCATTCTATGGAGAGGGAGCATGGACAGAGGTCATCCAACACTTGCTAAAAACAATAGATATAGACCCACTCTACAAAGATGGCAGTATAGCAATTGCAAAGAAATACAGACCAATAGCACTAACATCCCATATAAAAATCAAACCATACCACGGGTGGGGCTTGAACCCACGTCAGAGAGTCGTAAAACTCCAAACCTACGTGTTATCCACTGGGCCAGCTGGCTACAGTGGCCCAGTGGATAAGGGGTCGGTCTGGAGCTTTACAACTCTCTGACCATGGGCTTAAGCCCCACCCGTGGTATGGTTTGTCTGCAATCGTGTCACTACGATTTTGAGTCATCATAAAAATCTTTGAAAGGGTTCTAAGAAGCAAGATCGCCAACCACCTAGACCCCATCAGTTACACAACCAAGGGCAACACGGGTTTAGAACAGGTCACTCATGCCTGTCCCAGTTACTGGACCACCATGACAAGGTCCTGCATGCTTTAGAGGATAAACAAAATGCAGTTGTATACACAGACTTTGCAAAAGCCTTAAACAAATGCAACCATGGTGTAATAGCACACAAAATGTGTGATAACAGAATAATAGTAAAAGTTGGCAGATGAATCTATAAGTTCCTAACAAATAGAACACAGAGTAATAGTAAACAGAGTAACGTCTGAGGAAGCTACAGTGAAAAGTTCTGTTCCACAAGGCACAGTATGTATTTGCTCCAATTCTATTCCTCAAGGGTTGCACATGTGTCTAATTTATCAACTTGTCAGTTCTTTGAACCGTTCATCTACATTACTGTCTGGCACAGCAACATCTTGGGATCTTAATACAGGGAATTCTTCACTTGCCTAACCCTTGGGCATGACCTTCCACATAGGACAAATGTGATACCACCTATGACTGCTGCATCTCTCCTGCCTACAGTATATAAGCTAGTTCTTCGAACATATGCTGTAAACTTTTCAAGATTGATGGACTGACTACATTGACTCAAGGCTGAGGGACTGATTACCTCAAACTCCTCCTGTTTTTCACCATTCTCCTTTGTATGGACTGATGAAGCCACTGTGTGGCAAAATGTTTCCTCATTAAAGATACCCAAGTGTTGCACATGTGTCTAATTTACCAAAGGTGACATTAAAATATCAGAGATGGTTGACACACATCCACAACCATTATAGTGTGCTCCTCTCTTAGCGATGAATTCGTTTACCGACATGGTCTTAGGAACGGCACTCTGTCATTAAGTGAGGAGAGGCTGTATTGTAGATGACTGGTAGAATGCTCGGTCTGTGGTACAGCTTGCCATGATCATCCATCCTGCAGCTGACCCTTTACTTGCCTTAACTGTTGAGAGGATCACCCTATATATTCCCACTGGTGCTTTTTATATATAATATATATATATTATAATATATATATATATTATAATATATATATATAATATATATATATAATATATATATATATTTATATTTATAAAGAGAGAGGTTAAGAGAGTGGTGAAGCAATGTAAAAAGAGAGCAAATGAGAGAGTGGGTGAGATGTTATCAACAAATTTTTGTTGAAAATAAGAAAAAGTTTTGGAGTGAGATTAACAAGTTAAGGAAGCCTAGAGAACAAATGGATTTGTCAGTTAAAAATAGGAGAGGAGAGTTATTAAATGGAGAGTTAGAGGTATTGGGAAGATGGAGGGAATATTTTGAGGAATTGTTAAATGTTGATGAAGATAGGGAAGCTGTGATTTCGTGTATAGGGCAAGGAGGAATAACATCTTGTAGGAGTGAGGAAGAGCCAGTTGTGAGTGTGGGGGAAGTTTGTGAGGCAGTAGGTAAAATGAAAGGGGGTAAGGCAGCCGGGATTGATGGGATAAAGATAGAAATGTTAAAAGCAGGTGGGGATATAGTTTTGGAGTGGTTGGTGCAATTATTTAATAAATGTATGGAAGAGGGTAAGGTACCTAGGGATTGGCAGAGAGCATGCATAGTTCCTTTGTATAAAGGCAAAGGGGACAAAAGAGAGTGCAAAAATTATAGGGGGATAAGTCTGTTGAGTATACCTGGTAAAGTGTATTATTGAAAGTTATTATTGAAAGAATTAAAAGTAAGACTGAGAATAGGATAGCAGATGAACAAGGAGGCTTTAGGAAAGGTAGGGGGTGTGTGGACCAGGTGTTTACAGTGAAACATATAAGTGAACAGTATTTAGATAAGGCTAAAGAGGTCTTTGTGGCATTTATGGATTTGGAAAAGGCGTATGACAGGGTGGATAGGGGGCAATGTGGCAGATGTTGCAGGTGTATGGTGTAGGAGGTAGGTTACTGAAAGCAGTGAGGAGTTTTTATGAGGATAGTGAGGCTCAAGTTAGAGTATGTAGGAAAGAGGGAAATTATTTCCCAGTAAAAGTAGGCCTTAGACAAGGATGTGTGATGTCACCGTGGTTGTTTAATATATTTATAGATGGGGTTGTAAGAGAAGTAAATGCGAGGGTCTTGACAAGAGGCGTGGAGTTAAAAGATAAAGAATCACACATAAAGTGGGAGTTGTCACAGTTGCTCTTTGCTGATGACACTGTGCTCTTGGGAGATTCTGAAGAGAAGTTGCAGAGATTGGTGGATGAATTTGGTAGGGTGTGCAAAAGAAGAAAATTAAAAGTGAATACAGGAAAGAGTAAGGTTATGAGGATAAAAATATTAGGTGATGAAAGATTGGATATCAGATTGGAGGGAGAGAGTATGGAGGAGGTGAATGTATTCAGATATTTGGGAGTGGACGTGTCAGCGGATGGGTCTATGAAGGATGAGGTGAATCATAGAATTGATGAGGGGAAAAGGGTGAGTGGTGCACTTAGGAGTCTGTGGAGACAAAGAACTTTGTCCTTGGAATGTATGAGAGTATAGTTTTACCAACACTCTTATATGGGTGTGAAGCATGGGTGATGAATGTTGCAGCGAGGAGAAGGCTGGAGGCATTGGAGATGTCATGTCTGAGGGCAATGTGTGGTGTGAATATAATGCAGAGAATTCGTAGTTTGGAAGTTAGGAGGAGGTGCAGGATTACCAAAACTGTTGTCCAGAGGGCTGAGGAAGGGTTGTTGAGGTGGTTCGGACATGTAGAAAGAATGGAGCGAAACAGAATGACTTCAAGAGTGTATCAGTCTGTAGTGGAAGGAAGGCGGGGTAGGGGTCGGCCTAGGAAAGGTTGGAGGGAGGGGGTAAAGGAGGTTTTGTGTGCGAGGGGCTTGGACTTCCAGCAGGCGTGCGTGAGCGTGTATGATAGGAGTGAATGGAGACGAATGGTTTTTAATACTTGACGTGCTGTTGGAGTGTGAGCAAAGTAACATTTATGAAGGGGTTCAGGGAAACCGGCAGGCCGGACTTGAGTCCTGGAGATGAGAAGTACAGTGCCTGCACTCTGAAGGAGGGGTGTTAATGTTGCAGTTTAAAAACTGTAGTGTAAAGCACCCTTCTGGCAAGACAGTGATGGAGTGAATGATGGTGAAAGTTTTTCTTTTTCGGGCCACCCTGCCTTGGTGGGAATCGGCCAGTGTGATAATAAATAATAAATAAAAGTCTCTTACCTTTTCTTTCAAGGGAGACTTCCACAGCTCTCCTACTCCAGAGTTGCTCGGTGCCCTTAGGTCCCTGTTGTACCCTCACCCACAGTCACTCCTTTGTCTAACCTTTGTGTAGTTCTTGACTCTTCTTACCTCTTAACCTTCTCCCATACTTACTCCTTCGTCTTCTATTCCACGTGTTTCTTCACCCACATAGCTTTCTTTGTCTAAGCCTTCATCTCTTCAGTGCCTCCAAGGCCCAAACCTACCCCTCACCAAATTTTCCTACCAACTGTTGTTCCTTCTTGCTTAACTTTTCCTACCTATGAGTCTTGCTGTTATTTTATCCACTCATGACCTGCATGATTCTTCCACGTATAAGACGGTTAGAGATGTTAATAGAGATTTAATCGTCACTCCTGTTCATGGCTTCCCTTTCATTTCCCTATTCACTCTCTTTTGGCTTCACTTGATTTACCTCCCCTTATATCCACTCTGCATCTTGCTTTTCACTCCCTCCCAGCAAAGTTCCAATAATTAGAGTCTGCTCTACAAATCTTCCATTTACGAAAGCTCGCTTGCCTGCTGTAACCTCAAGCTTGTTCTTTGTTGATCACTTCCTTTCTTATTAGCATGCTATTGCAATGCGCACTGATGATTCTAAATTCCCTGACTGTGTTGGGTATGCAGCAGTTTTTATTGTCAGAATCATCTGAGGTCATTGACTAGACTTGACCAATATTTACACACACAAGTTGTATTCGATCTCATCGCCATCATGCACATTGCATCAATGTTCACCTCGTTATTCATAGTATTTTTGAACTACAGTGCAGTGCAAGCTGTCCAGAAATTTGACTCGCTTCATTCCATTGTTGTTCAGTTTTCTAAACCATTTATTAAAACTGTCAGACACAGCAACACCTTGGGATCTTGATAGAGGAAATTCTTCAAAGTTTGCCTAACCTATACTATGGCATGACCTACATCCACTAGTGGGTTTTATCACTGGTGACTTCACCTACCACTTTCACTTCATCTGTTTGCACTATTAAGTCCCATCTCTGCAAGTATACTGCACTAATGGCTCCTTGCCTACGAGTTCCTTCTAGTTCTATGCTGCACTTTTATCAAGACTGATGGACTGAACACATTGACTCCAGGCTGATGGGGAACTGATTACCTCAAACTCTTCCTCATCTTCCACCATTCTGTGCATTGGACTGAAGAAGCCACTGGTGAAATGTTTCCAGAATAACGATACCCAAATGTTACACAGGTGTCTCATTTGTCAGTACTCAGTGTTTTAGATACGAAGTACAGAACAGGTTTTGCTCTAGATCCTTATATGGGAACAAAACAAAGGCAAGTTTATTTGAAGTTTGATGATTAGTTAGTGAAGTACATGTGAAGTAGTGCATTTAACAGACCTTTAACTGTGTTAAGCATAAATTGTGTTAAAGCAAGATACTAAACATTGAAAATAAAAAGAGAAAATGTTAAATGTGGAATGAAGTTATTATGTACACAGGTTTAGATATGACCTGCACACCTTGCTGTAATACAGTAACCACTTTGGAATGAGCAAAAAGACAACAGAAAATTTAATACATCAGGGTCAAACCATTGTGACCACCAGAGAAGGCAAGTCTGCCAAAGTTGTTTCACGAGTGTACCTCATTGCTTCACAGCTTGGGCTGGCTTCTTGTGATTGGCTGGTCAGACCAAGGTACTGGTATAGTGAAGGGGTCCCTTTTTCATTAATAAACCCTTAGCACCTAGTTTGCTGGTCGGAAAGCATGCCTATATAAGTGTGTGACATACACTGAATAAAATGTGACATACTCTTAGCATGCCACAAAATTGAATTAACAACAACAAATATGAGGCCATGGAAAAGAATGGGTATGAAGCCAAGGTAAGACGTAGCTATAAAGCAAAGGCACTGAGTATGTGCAAGGCCAAGGACAAGAACAGGTATGAAGTCAAGGACTGGAATAGGTATGAAGTTGAGGAAAAGAATGGGAACAAAATTGAAACGAAGAATCGGTATGAAATAAAAGATGAAATAGGTATATTGCCAAGGAAAAGGACAAGAATAATTTAAAAGCTAAAGAAAAGATCAGGTAGAAAACCAAGGCAGGTATTGGATATGAAGCCTTTGAAAAGAATGGGTACAAAGCCAAGGAAGCCCATCGAAGATTTGAGATTTGAAGGAATGTGTTTATGCTGAGGCAGTAGTCTGTGTCAGTATATGGACTGGAAAGGCTGTACACTACATGTAACTAATACAAAGTACTTGATCCATCTTCTGTAGTGTACATGAAAGAAGCTTTGTGTAGGTCACCATTCTTTTTATGGGGATATGAGGCATTGTTGAATGTCATTAAACAGTTGCTAATATACTGTAATTTAATTTTATCTTATAGAATGAGATTTTTACAGCATCCTTACCATAAAATTATTGTTCTGCTTTCTCTTTTTTTTTTATATTTCTGTAATGAGCTCTGAGAATTAATCTTTTGCTCTTGGTACAGTGCAATACCAACCTTACGTTAGTGAAAGCCAAGGGTTTACAGTGTTACATTCAAGATAATAGTAATGTTAGCTAGTCTGATGTAGCAGTGTTACATACAGCATAGTGGTAATCCACCATAAAAAGAGAAGTCCAACATAGCAGTGTTGCACTGGATTGTATTATGCCTAATAATATAAGATGCTTTACAAACAATGGTATTGCAGTGTAGTAAATGTTTCATTGTATTTCAGACTTGTCTACACATAGCCTCGGAGCACGGAGCTGTGGAAAACATTAGACTGCTGCTTGACCATGGTGCTGATCTCCTAGCCAAGGATGCAAATGGACTTACTGCACTTGACTTAGCTGAGCAAGGAGAACACACACAATGCATGACCATCCTGAAAAATGCTGCAGGTATGTTATAAGATGTTGATTTTTCTTTCCCTTAAGAAACCTGGGTGTTATGCATCTATTGTGGGTTGCATCCTGGCAGTATACCTTAGATAGGGCTGGGCTTTGAAATGAGCTGAGGTAGGATAACAACTCTGAGCTTGTAAATTTTTTATGTATAAGAAAATACTCTAGGAAGAGTGGATGGTAAAAATTTTCCGTGCTGTACTTTTTGAGAGTTCGCATCTACATGGGTAGGTGTCCTTACTATATTCTGTTTACTGTTTTTACTTTGTTGGTTTAATGGTTATTAAGTGGTATTTTTTGCATGTTCAGATTCAATGACAGAAAAGGCAACTATGAAAACAATACAGATCAGGTTTGATACCTAAAGAGCTAGCTAAAAAAGATATTAATGCTCAAAAACCTGGAAAATACTTTTATCAAGTATTAGGTTTAAGTATATTTGCTAACATCAAAGAAATTTTACTAACTAACCGAAATTAACCTCCCATCTAAATCACTGAAACAATAAATTTACAGCCTCTCTTCACTTAATGATGGAGTTCCGTTTCTAAGACCATGTCAGTAAACGAATTCCTTGCTAAGTGAGAAACATACTATAATGGTAGTCGGTTTATATCAACTATCTTTGTTATTGTCTTAATGTCACCTTTGCACCATTTATAACATTTATGGTATGTTTTTAAATGTTTATACAGTAGTGTACTGTATATTGTAATAAACAGAAGAAATCAGCTCTAATACGGGTATGAATAGTGGTCAGAGCTCCTGTCGTTATTCCAGGGTGTCGGGAAACAAGTATGTTGCTAAGTAAGGAGAGGCTGTACTCAATAACTTCTCACCTCTAGTTAGAAATCACATTACTGATAGTTATCCACATTCTCTACACTTTTTTTTTTTTTTTAACTCCTGGCCCATGGCCAAGCTCCAAGACAGTAAGACTCGAAATTCATCAAAGGTGTAAGGTACAATGGCTGTCTCCCACCGAGGCAAGGTAACCCCCCCCCCCCCCCCAAAAAATTTTCTTCTTTCATTGTACCGGTTGTCTCCCACCAAGGCAGGGTGACCTAAAGAGAAAAACAAGTTTTTTACATTTAGTAATATATACAGGAGAAGGGGTTACAAGCCTTTTGCTCCCAGCCTTTTAGTCACCTCATACAACACACATGGCTTTTGGAGGAAGGATTTTTTTCCACTTTCCCATGGAGTTCTCTACACCTACCCCTACTTGATTCTAGAAATAACTTCGAAAATATATTCACTAAAAAAACGCAGGAAACAAAGGTAATATAGTACCATTTATTTACATATATGAAAGCTACACAGGTGCTGTCATCTACCAGTATGATTCTGTCTTCAGTAAACAGCTCGGCACCATGAGAGTACAAGAACTTGAGTTTTTTTATTTATAAATTTTACCCGCCCTATGATATTAATGTGAATCCTGCAGAGATCAAAAAAGTAAATTGATGCAAGTAGGTACCTGGGCGTTAGCCGACTGGTATGGGTTGCATCTTGGGACTAGATGGACCCCAGTGGAAATAAGACAGACAGTCCCCATGTGGGTGGCTGTGCAGCTACAGCCAGTAGCAGGTCTGCTGGTATGTTCCCCATGAGTGACCCGACCATGTCAGACCAAGGAGCACGCCTTAAATGGCATCTGTCATGTGGCGACAATGACCCTCTAGACAATTTGGAGGAGGAGGAAGCCCCACCCAAGAAGGCCAAGGATCAGTCAAGTGCCAGGGGCTCAACGGGGCAGCTGCCTCCCCAGAACATCCGGAGAGGGCTGGGTTGTCAGGGCCCAACCACACCAGAGGCCCTCAGATGATCCCCCCCCCACGGATATGGGGACCATGGAAGGGAGCCAGGAGCTTGTTTCGGCCTCCCAGCAGATGGTGCCAATGCCTTCCGAGGAGCCCAGCCCAGAGGAGTCTGCCGCTGCCGAGGACGGGGAATGGATAACTCCACATGGGAAAAGAACGACCTGGTCAGCCTGAGCTCAAGCAGCCAGTTCCTTCAACAATTTCGTGCTCCCTTCCTACAAGATGGCGAGGGATCTGGAGAAAACACCTGCCCTCAAGCTCAGCTGCGATTTCATGCTCCGGAGAGAGATCCTGGCCAAGCTAAAGGATGAGGAGGATACAAAAAACTCAAGGCACTGGCTGCAGCAAACTCAGAGGTAAGGGAGCTGCTTACTCAGGAGAAGGTGCACAAGGGGGTTATCTTGCATGCCCCTGTGCCACTGCCAGTGGGGCGCTTCCTAGCAGAGCCCAACATCATCAAGACCAAGTGGCTGATGGCCAGAGTCAACAAGGCACCGACCCGGCAGGTGTTGATTCACCACAGGAGGGTTCTCCCCACACACCTGGTCCTACGAGTGTAGGGACAGTTCAACAACCGGCCATACATAGATGGCCTGCTCCAATGCTTCAACTGCCGGGGCTTCAACCACATTGCGGCCACCTGTCAGCACGTGAAGAAATGCAGTGTGTGTAGCAAGCAGCATGACTTCAGGGACTGCATTGCTGTGCTCAAAAACCCCTCCCCCGAGACCCTGGTACCAGAGCCCAAGTATGCCAACTGTGGGAAGAGGCACCACGCCTGGAACCAGAGCTGCTGTGATAGTGCAGCACTGGCAACTGGTGTGGAGGCAGAATGCTTCTGCTGCAACCACATTGCAGCCCAACCCCAGGAGCCCCCAGCAGAGGCCGTGTATACCGACCATTGCTTCACAGAGTTTGGCAACTGCCAAGAGCAGAGAGTTCCTGGCACTGGATACTCAACAGAGAAGCCAGGGGGCATCAGCCAGCTCGCAACAGGGTGGCCAATGGTGAAGCCAAGGTACAAGATGGCCAAGAAGATCGAACTATGGGACCCAGCAGGCCCGGGTCAGGGATGCCGCTCAGGGGGCCATGGCCCCACAGTGGCTGACCCCACTGCCTCAACAGAGTGCCTCCTCCCAAATCCAAGCCTATCCAGTGAGCAGCAGGAACCAAGCACCATCACCCCACCAAGAGGCCCAGATAATCGCGCAGGCCTGTGTGATGGCAGCACCGACAGCCACGGAAATCGAGGTGACAGTAGCTCCTGCTCCTCCAAAAGGAGGGGTGGTGGACACCTCCAGTGCCCAAATAACCAAAGTAGTCATGGCTATCACAGATTGCATAGTTGACTTGCTCTCGTTGATGCAGGACAGGGACGTCTGCAAACAGTTACTGGGCACACTGCTCAGCTTGGCCGTGCTGAACAAGGAAGATTCGGCGAAGCTGCAGACACACCTCATCACGACCTTCCATGCCCCAGACTAGGAGACCCAGGCGTTAATGGCATTGTTGACGAGCGAAGACTAGCAGGAAAAGATGGAGTTGGACGGCCTGCCCTCCAGCCCCTAAGAGTACTACAGTGGAACATCTGCAGACTGCGGTAGAAAATCCACCTTGTGATCGAGGCGGCAGTCCAGGACAAAAGAGATGTCTTCCTGCTGCAGGAGACCCTCACCAAACACCTGCCTAACCCTGAGCAACACATCCCAGGATTCTCAGTCTATTTGCAGTGGATCTGAGACTCCGCCAGGGGCACAGCAATATATGTGAGGAATGACATCCCCACTCAATCATCACCAACCCCATTGACTGCAGGGAGAGGGTGGAGGTGCAGGCTGTCACCCTGCACCTGTCAGATGGTCCTCTAATGATCTACAATGTGTACTGAAGCCCAAGGTTCACCTTGGATCTCTCTGAGGTGGCAGCCCTCTCCCTGTCTCCCCTGGAGGGGAGTCTGGTGGTGGGGGATATCAATTCCCACCACGCACTACTCCACACCATCTCTTGCACGAATGAAACAGGAAGGCACCTGGCAGTGGTACTGGAGGACATTCCTGAGATCACCCTCCTCAACAACGGGGAACCAACCCACCCTTATGGCATCCGGCTCGACATCGGCACTCTCCGTACTCCCCAGTGGAATAGCAAGAAGGATGATAGGCAGTGCTTCCAGGGAATCATAGAGCAGTGGTGGGAAGAGACCACTACCCGACAATCCAAATGGGGCTGCTCAGAGCCTCCAAGCAGTCTTCATTTGGGCTGTGAGGGGCTGCTCAGAGCCTTCAAGCAGTCTTCACTCAGGCAGCCGAGGCAGCCATCTCCTGCACCAGGGGCGGAGGAACGCCCAAGCATGACTGGTGGTTCTATGACAAGGACATTAAGGAGCAGAACCATTGCATCAGCCTCATCTGCAGGATGCATAGATGCAACCACATGGCCGAGTCCCTCCGGTTGCTGTGGGACGTGGTATGGCATGCACGCCACATCGCCCACAGGCTCCACCTAGCAAAGTGGTTTGAGAGGTGTGCCTCTCTCAGCCACAACTCTTGCCTGTCAGAGATCTGGACCAAGATTAACATGGCTACTGGGAAGCACAGAGGCACTGCTCAGGCTCGCCACAACCTGACAGGGGAGGCAGAGAGACTGGTGGAATTCTTCACCTCCAGAACAGTGATGGCCCACCTGCCTCAGGACATCTAGGACCTCCAGGCTTCCCTCCTCCCTGGAAGGACAGCCATGACACTTGAGGCATGCCAGGAAGAAGATCACACTGATGCAGACTTCATCCACCGGGAGCTCCAGGCGGCCTTCAGGTCCTCACGGGACACAGACCCCGGGCAGGATGGCATCACCTACAGCATGGTCTCACGGTCAAGCCCGCCAGGACACGACGCCCTCTTGGGGGTCATCAACCGGTCATGGAGGGACTGGTTGACTCCCCACTGCATGGAAGGAAGCCAACATCCTGCCAATCCCCAAGCCCAAGGACACGTACAGCATGAGGCCAATCTCTCTCACCAGCTGTGTTTCCAAGGTGGCCGAGAGGATGGTGCAGGAGCAGCTGAGATGGAAGCTCAGACCATACACCAGCATGTGTATGACTTCACTCGAGGAGTGGGCACCTTCAAGAGTGTCACGACCCTCCTGGCCAGCGTTGGGTCAGACAAGAGACCCAAGATTGTTGTTTTCCTAAACCTGGAGAAGGCTGAGCTGGCCAGCGCACCAGCCATCCTTGACCTGCTGGCTCGCAGGGGAGTGAAGGGCAGGCTGCTCACCTGGAACCTCTCAGCCGAACTCTCTTCAGTGTGCTGATGCACGAGTTGGTGCACCTGATGTTCTACGCAGACGTCCAACTGCTCAGCTATGCCAACAACCTGGCACTTGTCATCCTTGGGAGATGCAGCCTTATGCTTTGGGCCCAGTATGACCTCAACCTGCTGGCAACCACCTGCCACCAACTTGGCCTCAAGATATCTGCAGACAAGTCCAAAGCCATGGTCCTGCATGCCTGCCAACAAGCTGCAGATCTTGGGCATCAACCTAGAATGGGTTAACAACTACCTATACCTGGGCATGCACATTGACAGTTGTCTCTCATTCAGAAAGCAGGCAGAATATGTCAGAGAGCATTCCATGCAGATGATCATGGCTGTGTGTGCCATGACCAACCCTAGGGTGGGGGCCAGCCTCAAAGTCCTCCAGATGTTTTACATGGAAATAAATGGTATAAAATACCGACACAATGGAAATATAAACACATATGCAGTATAATGTGATCCTTTATTGACAACGTTTCGCCTACACACTGGGCTTTATCAAGTCACAAACAGATCTGTTTGTGACTTGATATGTGTTTATATCTTGGATGTTTTATGTGCAGGTGTACGCTTCC